ATTGTTATGTGCCATCAAGTTGCCTGACTTATGAATATCCTATGAATGAACAACCTCCAGAATGTCTTATCGTTAACAGCCCTGTCCAGCTCTTGTAAACTCAAAACTGTGGTCTCCTTTATGAAGTCAATTCCTCTTATGTGTGGTCTTTGCCTGCCTTCTTTCCTGCTGCCTTCAACTTTTCCAAGCATTATTGGCTCATTCCGTAGTCTTGCTTTCTCATGATGTGCCCAAAGCCGAACAGTCTCAGTTTTGTAAGGCTTCCAAAGAAAGATTAGAATTGATTTGATCTAGGACTCATGCGTTCATCTTTCTGGTAGTCCTCCAGCATCGCGTTTAAAATGAACCAGCTTTCTTCCTGTCAGCTTTCTATCTATGTGGTCCATCTTTCTTGACCTTGGATCTCCAGCCACATCTCTGTACACTTGACGAACTTTTCTTTATTGCTGCCCTTCCAAGTCAGTCTTCTTTAATTTCTTGGCTGCAGTCTCCTTTTCAACAAATGATTGACAGACAAAATATCTTCATTGCCAAAGTTGAAAGTTGTGATCTTTATTACATGGCTTCCAGGTACAGCCCTGATGTCACTAAAAACCAGCTGTTGGGTAGAATTAATGGGGGGGAGGAAGGAGGAGGTAAAGAAGAGATGCAGCCATGGAAAAACGTGCTGGCACAGCAAATATTTTCAGTACAGTACTTCTTCTTTCTTCTCTGGTTAAGAAGTGTTTTCTCCTGAATGGAGGCCCTTCCCTTCGTCCCCCCCCCCTCCCCTTTGACTCTACCATTGGCTGGGTAAGAAGAGGGTGGCGGGGGGGGCTTAGAAAACCGCAATTCCCCCCAAAATCGCGGTCGTTGCAAAAAAAAATATCCTTGCACAGGACAAGACTTGTGACTTTCCCGCAGGAAAACAAAGGTTCGGGTCGGTTTTCGCTCCGGGGCTTGGCCTCGCTGGGGGAGGCGTTGCAAAAAAGCGTCCCCTGAACTTTGAACCCCGCCCGAAAAGAAGCGATAAACAGGCGAAGTATAAATACCACCGAGCGGCAGCCGGCGGAGCAGAATCGGTTTCTTCTCTTGCCTTGGCTCGGTTGCAGCGGCGGGGACGATCGGCGAAGGGCGAGGTCCCGGGTAAGTAAGCAAGCTCGTGGCTGTCGCCCCGTCCGCGTGTGCTAAATAGATCGAGGGTGTTGAAAGCCCGTGATTCTTGCACGTCTGAATCGGAAGCTTGCGAGTACTGGAGAAATCGCGGTTTCTAAAAACTGCGCCTTAGAAACTTTTCGTCTGTAGCGGGTCGTCCGGGAGCAATACGTCTGTGCACAAAACATTCGAGGTGTTCCAGTGCTTTGGATCCTGGAAAGGCTGATACAGGAGTCACATATATTTTTTTGAAGGGGCAAGGGATGGTGTTCCTTTGCCGTTTCGGGTAAAGAAAAAGGCCTCTTGTATGGGAAACGTTCCAGCGCAATCCTGTGCATGTCTATGGAGAAATGAGCACGACCTGGGCTCAGTAACGCTTACTCCCAAGTGATTGTTTATAGGAGACCAGGTTTGACACCCCGGGTATAACGCTGTGGATTCTTCCCATTTTTGCAAAATATTTCTGTTCGGACAGACTTCTGCACTCCGTAGAATTATCTTAGGCTTTGCAGGTGGGAAGAAAATACGTGGTGTGCTAGTGACCACGGTTTGATTTAAATCAAATCCGTCTCAATGACGATTTATACAAAAATTTGATTTTTTTGGAATATTTAAATTCAAAAATCATATTTTTTCTTTAAATCGTTTTGTTTAAATCACTGATTTTTATCCAGCCTGTTAAGTTATTTTCAAGATGAGGGGTTTCTAGAAATTACAGGTAGATTTTTAGCCAGTTTTAGGTTTTATTGAAGTGTGCCAGACTAGGTGTTGAGAATCAGACAGAGGAAAATAAACTGCCATCAACATAGCTATTTTACACATAGCTACTCAGATTCCCATGGATTTACAGTACTTCTGATTAAATGCGTGTCAGATTGCAGCTGGCTGTGTACACATTTAATCGGTTTTCCCTCTTTCTGTGCGGTCCTTAGTGGGACTTGCTTCTCAGTAAACCTGCGCAGGATCAAGCTTAGCCTTTCTGTTTGTGCACCATAGGCTGTTTCCCTCTTCTAGTCTTCAAATGAATTCCTAGAAACAAAAGTTGGCTCTGTGCCCAAAAAAAAAGGGAAGCTCATTCCAGAGTGCTAGGAAAAAAAGTACTTTTTTTTTTTTTGAAAGAGGAAGATGTTATTTTACAAACAAGGAAAGCTTGCACACTCTGCATCGGTTAGCATTCATTTTGAGTGTGTTTAATTCAAATTGATTTGTTTGAGCTGTAGTTTTAACCTTTAAAAATCAAGAGGAGAATAGCAACAAAACTCATAATGGACAAGATCCTCTGGGACTTGCGCTGCTATTCCAAAGAAGTTGCACCCAGGTTAGCAGTAAAGTGGTAGCCTGTGATGTTTTCTTAGACTTCCTTCTTTCCCTTTAACTTGTCTTTATTGTTTTGCAGCTGAAGCCCAGCCATGTGGGTTGGGCTGGGGCTTGCCCTGGCTCTCTGTCTCCTCCCAGGAGGAGGGACAGAGAGCCAGGGCTCAAGCTCCCGTTGTAAAGAGCCGCCGGACTGGCAAATCGGAGAGCAGAACCCAATGCTGGACGCCAGAGGTTCTGTGACGGTGGTGGCCCTTCTCCAAGCAAGCTGATACTTGTGCCTGTTGCAGGCTTCTCGGTAAGGGCAGTCCAAATTTGTGACTGTGTTTCATTGCGGAGCAGTCCAAGTTTGCAGTTGCACCTTGCTATGTACACACGCTTGGACAGTTTTGTTCTTGAAAAGAAAGTATCTGCCTAGATTTGGTGTAATAAAATGATTCTTCAGATTTCAAAAGCCTTTACTTGCCCATGATTCTTGGAACGGGTTCCTGTTACTGCTGTGAAGTTATTTTTGGCTCCAGGACAGCTGTTTTCTCTGTTTGGAATCCATATGGCTGTTAGTCATGTGAATACTCTTCCTCCTCTCATAAGTCTCTTTGTACATTTTTGAATTCAAGCCAGGAGCCAGAGGTTGAGTTCTGAAAAATTAACTAGCAAGAGTCCATGCTGCAGAAGACTTATTTCTTTCTATGCTTGATTTCTAAGAGTGGTCTTATAGACCAGTTGGGTGGGGTACAAATCAAATAAATAAAATAATGAAATAAATAATAAATAAATACATTTACCAAACGTGGGATTGATTGCCAGTCTGGGCTGCAGTCAGCTTTGCAGCCAGAAGGAGATAATCACTTTTTAAAAACAGAGATATTTCATGCAAACAGTTATCAGTCATCAAACAAAAGCAAGGTGTCTTGCAGCTTTTGCTAGACTGCAAAATACTACTGGAGGACAATCAGCTTTTTAAGCTAGTATTGCTTCTGATTCCAAAGTTGATGTCTTTGTTTGGTCTTGTGCTATTCAACTGGATGCTGCTGTGACTGTCTTTCTGTTTGGTCAGACTGAGGGAGTATTGAGTGGCTGAAGGTCACCAGTGTATTTAATTACTGAGTGGGGCTTTGAACCAGAGTCCCACATCCTAATCCAACACTGACTGCTACACTGGACCTGGTTTAGCCTGTGTGAGACTGGAGCCTTTGCATGTGGGAACTGAAATGTGTTAACACCTGGTAATCTGCTTCCTGACAGCACAGGCAACCACAGTGCAACCGCTTCTAAAGCTGAGATGGGGATAAGCATTCTGCATCAAATTGTACATAAAAAGTCAGTGCCACTGTTTTACAGCAACATCCTGGAAGATGATATACTGTCAGTGTACTGCAAGCAATAATGGCATGTTATAGATTTTGAGAAGCTGTGGTTTTTTATCCAAAAGAAGCAAGATATTTCTAAAGGAAAGCACACTATGCATAAAATACACATTTTTTATATGAAAGCTATTCTGAAAAAGAAACGCTACAAACAAGAATACAGAGAGAAACAGCTGAGATCAAATGTATTTACATGATGATCACTCATTTAAAAGGACTGAATATCAGTTAAGGTTTCTTTAGTCACTACAAAGTGTAATATTTATGCTGTTATCTATTGTTATTTTCTTCACAACTGCCAGATCCATATTTCAGAACAAGGCTCAAAGGTAGTCATTCTCTATATTAAAACCCACTGTTCTTGTTGTTTCCTTTAATCATATTACTGCTCACAGTTGGTCTTCAAAGTTTCTCTCTCTCTCTCTCTCTCTCTCTCTCTCTCTCTCTCTCTCTGTGTGTGTGTTACTTTGTCTGCATTTGCCTAGTTTTGTGTCTCTTGTTGGAATGTTTTTAGAACTGAATACCAAACAAAGGTTATAAATTATTTTATGGTGTGAAATGCAACCCAGCATGAATGTCTTATGGTGTTAATCTCTGTTTTTCACTTCATATGCCTGAAGACTGGGCTAAAATGGTCCACGAAAGCTTACATTAAATTACAATAGTTAGTTTTTAAGGTGCCACCATGCTTTTGTCTCTTTTTTTGTCCTTTTGTTCTTGCTTAATATACTTGCACAGACTAACATGGCCATCTCTTCTAAGACTACATTTTTCTCTTTATTCCTGTTAGACTGGAAGATCTGCGACTGAAGCTGGAGAGTGATGGGTTTACCAATATCTCCTTTATTGTGGTCAATCATCAAGGATACCATTCCCGGCTGAAGTATCATCTTCTAAGAGAGAAAGTTTCAGAGCACATTCCCGTATACCAACAGGATATGCAACAGCCTGACGTCTGGAAAACTCTGAATGGAAATAAAGATGATTTTCTGATCTACGACAGGTCTGTCTATAAACAGGATACTAGGAAGGAACAGATCAAATAGGTTTTCACTTCCTTATGTAAATAATCCCACTTGTTAGATTTTTGGCCCTTATATAGGATTGGATGCACTAGTTATTCTAGCGTTGCAAAAATAAATAAATAAATAAGGATAGATGGTTCGTGCAGAACCATGATATAACTCAGAAAGTTTAAAAAGAGGTGAATTTGAAATCATGAGGGAGATAAAAGTTCTTTTCTCCTTGCCAGTCACTGTCTCTAGTAAAGGAGTTCAAAGAGCCTCTCCATGCAGTGGAGAACCCTAATATTTCAGTATCATCTCCAACTGTGCAGAGAAAACTCCATGTGTAACAAGCTTTTCTCTTCAGATACAGTAGTCTCTTTTCCCTCTGGGACAGCAGCACATGGGGTGTAGGGCTAGAACTCTCCCTGTTCACTCTTTGAAATGAGTTCTTTTTTAAAAAAAAATTAGGGCTAAAGGCATAGCTCAAGGTGAACAGAAGGTAAATGTAGTTCAAATTCTGCTGGTAGATCTCTGGGCAGCTGCTGCACATAATATGAATTTTGAGCCCTAATTATTTAATATCGGCATCAACAAAATGTTTCCCTCCTCACAAACCAGTGTTGCATTGCTGATATGAAGGAGGTTTGGGATAACTAAGATTTTTGTGCAAAAGGACTAGGTACACAAACAGAGTCCTGGACTCAGATTTCTGTAATTCTAAGTGCATGCCTTCTACATAGGCTCTGGTTGATAGCTCTTCAGATTGAAGTAAAAAAACAAAGTAAATATTTCAACCCTGAAATTGGTCCACTCCAGTGTACGTTGTACGGAACACACTTGACAACACTGATTAAACTATGTCTAACCTGTGATTTAATGTGACTGACTGCTTCTCCATACAAAATATCTTCTGCACAAGGAAAACTGAATATCCCAGAAATTTTAAGCCTAGACAGGTTTGTTATCTCGGGTCTAAGTTACACAGTTCTGTTAACACAGCACTGAGAACAGAGCTTGCCAAGCAGCACTAATGGAAGAGAATGGTTTGATTTTCTGTTGTCATAATCAGTGCCGATCCCTCCTTTCTGTATTGGATTAGCACAGTAGTGAAGTGTTTGCAGTTGATTTTAGGGACCACAACAGACCACAGGGAATGAGAAATGCATTTTTCAGTGGACTTCATGAATGTGTATACTGTACTTTTATTAACACTTGAGCATCTCTATTATTAGGTGTGGCCGTCTTGTGTATCACCTTGGCTTGCCTTACTCTTTTCTGAGTTTTCCATATGTGGAAGAAGCCATTCACATTACATACTGTGAATCCAAGTGTGGAAACTGCACCCAGCTGGTATGTATTTAGGGTTTTTTTTTTCTGCTTTCCGTGATATATATGAGGATATGTGTGTGAAACAGAATGCGAAAGAATTTGTGCAAAGCTAAAACTAATGTTTTCAAAGGCCCGAAGAGTTCAGAAAAGCCTGCTTTAACTTTTTAAGGTAGTGACATTACATCTTTTTTAAAAATCAAGACTACGTAGTGCCGCGGATTTTCCAGGACCATATCCCTTTAAATAACAGCAAACAAGATTTCTTTAAATAAATGCAACTCACAGGCAGTGTTTGCAGCTTTGCCATAGACTGTAATACTCATTATGCTGAAGTTTTAGTTACCTTTAAATTAACTTCCTTAGTTTTTTTACTCTGATGTAAGGTTTTATTTTAAGATGACATATTTCATCTATAAGAATGTGTTAAAATTTAGCAGGCAGACATATAAAATCCTATAGACCCTTATATGCTTGTTTTCTGAAACTGTGTACATTTCAGTTTTCTAAATGCTTTCCTTTCAGACAGCAGAGGATGAAGAATTATGCAAAAACATATCAAAGAAAACAGATGAAGAGGCAGCTGAAGCTGTACCTCCTCCGTCACCACAGCACCATCATAGACATCATGGCCATAGACCTCATGGCCATAGACGTCATAACAACAGAGACCAAAACAAAGATAGTCAGGCAGGGAGCCAGGTTGTAGCCAGCGGTCCCTCCCAGGGGAAGAGGCTTTGACGAAAAGGAAATGCCATCTGCAACCGACAGCTGAACTGAAACTGGCAGCAGCTGACAGGGTCTGCATCAGGCAGCTGATGCTGACACTGTCGGCATTTGCTGTTCGAAGATCTGCGCAGCGTTGCCTCCTGACACTGTCGTGGAGAGCTCCCATCTTCCTGCCGGTGACACGGGCAGCTGTTGGCAGAGAATGTCATTGAGTCTTGTCAGTGACGCCTGCCGACGGCTGCTTGACGGTCACAAGCAGCAGATGAGCTTGAAACCACCGATGTCTGACAGTGAGCAGGGAGGGCGGAAAACTGAGCCTGAAAAACAATCTAAACATCTAAAATTTAGACTGCACTTCATGACCATGCAGATACCGGTGCCATCAGATTTACCATACTGATTGGAAAGACTTTCCAGAAACAGCAAATGGGAGTTAAAACTACAATGGAGGAGTAGGATGACTGTAATTTTTGTGTTGGGTACTACAGTATTATGTAAATGTTTGAGAGGAAAGCAACCTGCAGAGTTCCATCTGTAAACCAGCTGAGTTAAACTACTTGAGTTTCAGCTCTGTTCAACTGCAGTTGCTTAACATATGGGAGTTATCTGGGTTTGGTGACTTGACTTTAACAAGGAAGAACTCCCTCATTATAGTATGGTATTGTTTTTCAGTGCTAGTTGAAAGTGTTTGCAGTGGTTTGTTAGCTTGTCTTTTTGGTTTCCTTTTCTACCATTCTGTTTGAATTTATGAAGACAGAAGCAAAAACTATAACCTAGGGGCTTCTGTTGGATTTATAGCAACCATGAACAGAGGAGGATAAGAAAAGACATGTTAACTAGCTTTTTAAAAAGATTTTTTAAGACCAAGAAAAAACGTGTAACGTATGAGCTTTTCTCACATAAAAATCAAGTCACGTAATGATTAAATTGCATTATAGAACGTGGTGCACATTTAAAAACTTGCATATGAGCAATATTCTAAATAATACTTTTTCCGCTATAAAGGGATTTGCTAGAATGCCCAGTTTTGAAGTAACAGATTTGAGAGACACACATTTAACTAAATCTCCCACAGCAATTCGTTTTTAAATTTTTTTATGTTTTTGACATTGCATTCTCAGGCAATCCCATTAAAGCTAAAGATTACAGTAATTTTAATTGGGGTTGAAAGTAAAAATGGAGCAGGGTGGAGTGGATATGTGCAAATTCCATTAAAAGATTGAGACCCAAAACATATCTGCTGATCAGTCTTAATCTAGCTGTCCGCAGTTCCTGTTGATTTGTGATCTCCTTCTAGGGCTGGCTTGTATTTCCTTTTATAAAGATTAATAAATTTGATATGTCTTTTTTTATAGCTAGGTAGTTCCATATCATGGCTACATTTTATCTATCTGAAATTAATTTCATTCTAGTATGATGTATTTCGAGGATTCAGAGAGAAAAGAAAATGTTTTAACAAAGAGGAACTGTTTAGATTGTGTTTGCCATTTTTTATGATGGTTTAATAGGAAAACTTATGCTCCTACAAAACCTGAATTCTTTTATGGTGAACGCTTATAAGCACGAAAGTAGTTCAGAATATAACTGGAAAGCTTGTGAATGGAGAACCAAAAAAGAGAGTTTTTAATAAATGAAAAAAGTTTTGTCAACCCAGTGTGGCTTTGTTACATTTCTTCTTTACGTTGCTTGTAGTATTTTGATGTAATTCCCACAGCTGGAGCTGTTTGAGGTGTGAATCTTGACTTCTACCAAGCTGTTGTTCCAACTCTTTGATGGTATTGTGGAGAAATTCAATTTCCTTATTCTTTTGTTCTTCAAGGTGTTGTAGCTTCTGCAGAAATTAAAGTAAACATTTTGTTACTGTTGAAACTGTGGTGGGAGATACAGTACATGTACAACAAAAGTACCATTGCTGTTTTGTCTTGGAGGAGTGCTATACAGCAGTGGTCCCCAACCTTTTTAACCCCGCTGACTGGTTGGGGAAGGCGGGGCAGCCCCTGCAGTTGTGCGCATGCACAAAGGAGCGTGCACTCTCTCGCAGGTGCTGTCGTGCGGATGGGTGCGTGCAAATGAGCGAAGGAGTGGGAGGGTGCTTGTGTGGGCGCGCGCACACGTGCACATGTGCAAAGGGTGGCACGATTTTTTCCAATGGCTCTGCAGATCACGATTGGCTAACCACTCCTGGCAAGAGGTGGGAGGACAAGCCTTGCTGCAAGGTCAAAGAGTGGTTCACAGATCGCGATCTGCAGAGCCATTGGAAGATTCAGGGCAGAGTGGTGAGTGGACTGTCCGGCCCCGGGGGACTGGAACTTCATTATTGCCACCTGTTCAGGGATATATGAATACCCCCATCTCTAGTATAGATCCTTTTTTTAATGAATGATGAAGCCATCTCTGGCAGGATTAGGCCAGCTACAAATTCAGAGGCATTAATGCACAGGTGAAAGAGCAAGGCACAACACTGAAACGCTGTCATTTGAAGTACCCTGTATTCAAATATTTAATGGAACACCCAAACAGATACTGTAACATTTAGGAGATGCTGGAGAACCTACCCTTCTGTAGATATTTGCTGTAGGATTGGAATATGGTTTGGGTGTTTTGGTTTGAAGTTTTATCATCTTAGCATTGAACTAAAAAAAAACCAAAAATGATTAAGAATTTGATAAATCTACTAAACAAAATATTCCCATCCCATTTATGCTGTTCAAATAATAACAAAACACTATGTGAATATTGGATTAGAAGGTGAAGACGAATACTGTATTTCATTTTTAAAAATTTAAATCACGATTTAAATCAATTTGATTTAAAAAATCATTGATTTTTATCCACCCTTGTAATGGTCAAAATTTTGGGAAGAAGTCAAGAAAAAGGTCAAGCACTCGATGAAACTGAATGTGTAACCTGCCAGAGGCAGCTTGTGGGTGAAGGGAATGTTTTAGCTGAAAATTAAGGGTAAAATACTCTCCTTCCCCCCTCGCTTGAACCAGAGGCAACCTGTGCTAGAAAATAAGTAACAAATCATATGGTGGGATTTACATCTAAGTAGACATCCGTGGGATTGAGTAGTAAAGCTCTTGAGAGTATCAGTAGAAATGTACAATACTGTGAAGCACAGCAACATCTAAAATACTTTTCTTTCACACTACCTTCTCAGAGTAGACGACAAAACATGAAATGTGATCAACATAATTCTAATATTTAAATCATACATTTATTTACTTAGAAAAAAGTCCTATAAATTTCATTAGAAATTATTTCTGAATAATGTAAAATAATAAATATCCTAAGAATATTATCAATTCTCCATTAGAACAACTGATTCTCCATAAAATGAGAAACCAGAGGTGACATAAACTATCGAGAGAGGTTCTACACCCTAACCTAATATGCAGAAGAGGTTTTAGTTGGTTCAATAACTTTCTGTGTTTGAAGGAAACATACTTAAAAATCTAAGAACAATAATAATTTCCCCATCATCATCAAGATGAAGTGTTTCTGGCACTTTAGGACAGGTGCATAGGTTTCTTCCAGACCAAACAGACTTTAACCCTACACCTGAAATGTCCCTACTCATGTTCTAGTCCTATGTCAACAAAACAAAAGTTCTGCACAGGAGCTGATGTGAAAGTCACGAGCTAATCGCTGAGTTCTAGGGCTTACCTCTATCTGCAATTTGATTATCTCATTCTGTTTCTCCTTTTCTTGGGCTCTTAGTTGATTAGTTAGTTCTAAAATATTTATGTCTCTCTTCTGTATCACTTGCTTAAATTCTTCCTTGCTTGCTTCAACTAATAAATGAAACACAGATTCATTAATTTAATTAAATGGGTTTCAGAGAGGTGAAATTGACTAAAGAGCAAACAAAATATTCTAAAAGGGTGCGAGAACAATTCTCTTATCAGGAAAGATTACAATATGTGCTTTTTAGCTTATTAAAGAGGCAGGCAGGCACACACCAGCTTTATTCATGTGAAGAATATAATTGGGGCAGAGAAGGGATCATTTTGCACTTGCAGTTGCTACTAAATTTGTGAAACACTTAACTAGGAAACTTTTACAATATGTTTCACATCCTAATTCACCCTCTGCCTACTGTGCTCTGCAGGGTGTGAATAGAAAACCTGAAATGTCTAACTTACTAGAAGTGAGACTGAACAATGACAAGTTTAACTTGTGAAGCATACAATGGGTTTTATATGCATTTTCTTTTTGAGACTGGAAAGGGTATTTAACTTAGTTTTTAGGCATATAACTTAATACTTTGATATTAATGCCTATTACTGAAAATGATGTAAGTGTACCCCCAGATCTCAAAGACGGCAAACACATGCTTACATTTTTTGTTCATGTCAGAGTGAAACTTGGACTGGGAAAGCTTATGTTCCTCTTCTTTTTGTTCAATTTTTCTCATGAGTCTATCAATCATATTCTTATATTCCTGTAAATAATTGAAATCAAGAAACCTTTTTGGAACAAGAAGCTTTGCAATATGGCTCAGAAGATTATTTTTTCCAAAATTGTCCAAACCCATTTTATTAGTGAAATCTATATAACCATCAGAAAGTTTACATTTTATTTTAGAAGTTATTAAGTTACTGTACTAAGTTATTCAAACTCCTTAGAATCCAACGAGATTTGGATTAATACTGATATAATTTATAAAAGAGTAATAATGAAGCCTCATTCACAGATCAGATTACAATGCAGGCTCAGATGTAAATGCTATTGAGTACAATAGGTCTACTTCCATTTAGTAAAAATGCTTAAGTGTATTCACTGTACACCAAGTATACCCTTTTTACTCAGAAGAAAATCTCACTGAATATAATAGGTTGTACTTCATAGTAAGCATGTTTAAGCATGTATAGTGAGTGCAGCTTTAGGTGTAACATTTGAACATAAGAAGAGCCCTGCTGGATAAGGCCAAGGGCCCATCTAGCCCAGCTTCTCACAGTGGCCCCACCAGAAGCCTCTGAGCAAACGAGACAACTTGATACCTGTATCCTGATATCCCTCCCCTGCATCTGGCATTTTGAGGTACCTTCATTTTAAGCTTGGAGATTATACATCATGGCTTGTAACCTGCGATGGATTTTTCCTCCAGAAATCTGCCCAATCCTTTTTTAAAGGCATTTAGGCCAGATACCATCACCACATCCTGTGGCAAGGAGTTCCATTTGGATTTAGGTTAATGTCAGTTTCACACTCCCAAACTTGCTTTCTTCTCCATAAAGAGCAACCCAGTCCAACTGCCAGACGCCTGACCAGAAAGGAAACACCACCTGTCTTTATCCATCAACTACAGCATGGGACGGGGAAAGTGCAGTCCTCAGGATGGTGGACCGTAGCTCCTGCCAGCTGCAGTCAGTGGGCTCAAGGAGGTGAGGAATGTTTGGAGCTATAATCCAGTGAGAAAAATGAAAAGGTGATACATGACCTAGAATTATGAAGTTTAAGGCCCAGGCCCTGACACTCAGTTTCTTGGGTCTGTTCTTCAGGGCTCAGGCAACTCTAGATTTGGAGCTCCTTATGGCTTCAGAACATGCTATTTAATAACCTTTGAATACTAATCTTTGAACTGAAGAGCTGGAAGGGACCCCATGGATCACTGAGTCCAGCTCCTCTCAAGGAGGCACAGTCGGGAATTGAACTCCCAACCTAAGCCACTGAACTATAGACATAGAAGCACTTTTGCCTCTTGCTTACTCTAGACTAGCGTTCCTTGGCCTCTAAACAGGAAACATTGCCCTTTAATTGTATCACATGTCTGCACATTCTCTGTGATATACGCACACCATTTTGTCTTTGCTGAAGTGGCTGGCCCCTCTGACATCACAACAGCCTTTCCCTAGGTCCCTGGGTTGGCCCTGAAATTCAAGGTTATTGCAGCTCTAGTTGTGTTGTTTATACTGTTTCTAAGCAGAGGGCCTCAGGTGCTTTGCTGCTGTTGTTACATGCCATCGCCTCCTACTTATTGCAGCCCCATGAATAAGGAATCTCCAAAATATCCTGTCTTCAACTGCCCTAGCTCACCACTTCATCTGGCACGGACAAGCCACTTTTCTCTGTTGTGTCTTTGGTGTTGTAGTTTGTAATCCTGAAGGCAGGCCTTCTCTTGCCACTCTCCCCTTCTTTAATATTAGTACCGGCAGCTCTCAAAGATGTTTGTCTGACAAGTGGGACCGCAATATGCCATGTTGATTGTTTTGCTATTGTTTTTTCCTGTAGATTGGTTACAACGTTAATTTGCTATACAAACAGCTTGTAAGTTCAGGGAAACAGATTTTAAAAAAGAGGACAAGGTTCCTCTGCTTCAATAGCTGTGTAGAGAAAATTTCTCCAGGTATAACTTGCATTAAATCCTGCAACTGCAGATGTTTCCTCTTCTAAGCAGCTCAAGATAACAGGGCCTTTGACCTTTTCATGCGGTCACCTGCTTTTGCCTGGAGATGTACAAAACCACTTGGCACTGGTCCTTCCCTTGCATGTTGAATTTTAGTTTGTACTCTTGTAATTTATTACCACCGTGTAAGCATGTACACTTTGTGAGAAGTCTACTGCAGCAACAGATACACCACCAGCCACAGCAGGTGATGCATTCTCGCCAACAGTGATGCAATGTATTCATTTTTGGGATATTTCTGATATTTTGGACAGATTATGGTTGCAGATAAGATTTTTTAAAATAAACTTGCACCATGTAAGTCACATAATGGGGGTGGGACAGCCCACACAATGTCATAATCAGCACATGTTTTTTGACTGTCTTTTTTCTTACCAGAAAAAAAAATAATTAAGGAAGAAAAGATGGGGTAATTACTCAATGACTTTCCTACAAGCCTCCAGAGGAAAATACCTCTATAGTCAGAAATACATGTTTGTGATGTCCATCAGAGATTTTAAAACCAGTATTTGAATTTCTTTGTATCATTAACGGGGTTTAAGACAATCATGATGCCTGCAAAGTGATCCACACGAGTAAACTTACAATTATAACAATAACCCCAAATTGGAAAACAGATATAGTACATTATACCATCTCCAATAGGGAAAGCTGTGGTAGTTTGAAGACTGTATGAACCATCCCACCTGTTCATGAACCTTCACTTTTTCTTCCAAAATATGTGCTGTGTTCTTCAATCTTTCATTTTCATCTGTGAAAGGAAATCATTATGAAATGATTTGAAAGAAAGTCCTTGGAGGATCACCATCAAGTTGGAATCAGCTTGATAGTCATAGTTATTAATTTTTTTAAAGTCTTATCATTGACCATTCTCCTCAGGTCTCGGAAATGAAATGGGGTGTCTCCCTTTATTGGAGCCTGATTAGGCCTCATCTTTTCCTCCTGTTGGGAGCTCTGCCCACATTGGGAACTGCATTCCAAATTTTGTGTTCCAGATCACACAGGAAGAGCTTCTTGGTACATATTAAAGCAACTCCTACCAGCACTGCAGGTGGGTACACACATCCCCATTTTCTTACCTCTCAAGTTACACTGGCTTTCAATAGTTTGTTGAAGACCCTTAATCACTTTGTAGAGTGCAACACATTCTTTTAAAAAGAAGAAGAGACATTAGTGCATTTGATGTTATTATGACATTTATTTTACAGTTTGTTACATTTGTAAATCACTTTTCTCTCAAGTGAGCTCAGGGCAGTGTGCATGGCCTTCCTCCTCTGTATCTTATCTGTGGTTCTATCTGTTGCCAATTTTATCCATCCCTATGAGGTAGACGTGGCTGAGAGAGGGATTAGCACTAGATCACTGAACGGGTTTCACAACACAGTGGAGACTAGAATCTGGATCTAACAAGTTCTAATCCAAATCTTTAACCATCACACCACACTGGCTGCTGCGTTGTACAGTACTGGCTAGTATTAATTTGTTTTTCTAGAAATGAGTAATTTTTGTGGTGTAATGAAAATATAATGCAGGTTTCAATATTACTTGTATTTCTAGATTTTGCTCATTCCAAATATTTTGCATATCATTTTTATAAACTTTCCTCAATATTAAAATAATTTATATCCCAAAGTAATTTTACTTTTTAAAAAAGAAAAGGTTGCATAGTCAGAGAAACAAGCAAATGCAGGAAGAGATTATACCTTTAATCGACCATTAAGAATATAAAACAATAAATCAAACAGCAAATTTTCAATGATCAATCATCTTCTTCAAGGCTGTGCATAAAGTTCTTCCAAATTTATATGGTGTTATTAGAGATGGGGGTATTCATATTCGAATATCCCCTCACAGATAATGAGGGTCTGCCCCCCCCCTGGGGCCAGACTGAACATTCACAATTCTGCCACTGCCGTGTGCTCCACGGCCCCTTCCTATCGTTCCATTGCTCGTGATGGATTAGCCACTCAAGGTTCAAGTTCAAGTTTATTGTATTGGCTAATAGCCGTCACAATTGTTTAAAAAATACAAATATGATCAAGTAAAATCATGATTAAATCACAGACATATAAAATAATAAGAGACTCTTCATATCTGGGATCCTCCTGCACAACTGATTGCGATGGCACTCAGGAAATTAGCGCGGATGTTTCTGGCCGCTTTTGCAAACAGCACTGTTCTGTATGTACCATATGGATCACGGTCCAAAAGTAACCTGACCACCTTTATCTGAAGGCTTTCCTCCTCTAGGGCAGCCAAAATGTTACCCAGGAACTTTTCTCTGGGGTTTTGATACAGCTGACAGTTGAGTAAATAGTGGACAACATCCTCTATCTCACCTGCTCCACAAATATATAGCCTTAGTTGCTTAGGGACATTCATGTACCTGCTGTCTAAGACAGTGGTTGGCATGGTTTGGAAACAGAGTTCTGTGAATGCGATTCTCAAGGAGGTAAAAGTAAGTGTATGTAAGTATTGCGCCCTTGAGTGGTTTGTTTTCACAGTTGATGGACTGTCAATCAATGGACCTGAGGCTTCTAGATCGTGAAGACCTCGGGGACAACTCAACCACTAGGCATACACTGAAATCACCCATTAAACCTAATGTGGCAAGAACTCCTATTGTTCCTGTATCCACAAGATCTAGCCCTGTTACTAATCAGACTCCAAGGGATTTGCAGTTACAGCTTGAAAGTGAAAATGAAGCTTTAGTGAAAGAGGCTCTGGACAGCTTCACGTCTCTCCCATGGGAAAAGCAGGTACTGACACTATTAAATCTAATGTGGCAAGAATTATTGTTCCTGCATCCACAAGATCTAGCCCTGTTACTAATCAGACTCCAAGGGATTTGCAGTTACAGCTTGAAAGTGAAAATGAAGCTTTAGTGAAAGAGGCTCTGGACAGCTTCACGTCTCTCCCATGGGAAAAGCAGGTACTGACACTTTAAAAGATAGAGGTGGCAAGGCAGGAGCTTGTGACTCTCCTTGAAACTCGCCATCCCAACATTACAATTCAGGCTGAAGTACATCCAGAACCAACACCCCCTGCTGATGATCCCAACAGAACGGCTCCAACTCCCAGTGCTCACTTTCAGTTCTGTCATTGAACATTGCTGCGTGGCAAAATAAGTTGGTGAACCGGGAGTTCGGGAAATTTCTTTCAATGTTTTATATCCTTTGTTTGCAGGAAACCTGGTTAGTTGATTCCACTCCCCTGGTGTTAAATGGGTATACCCCCATTTTTGTTTTCCACTCTTAAACCATCTAGAAAAGGGAGAGCAAGAGGAGGTTTAGCTATTTTAGTCTCCGTCAAGTTGGATGTGGAGCTGGAAGTCCTTTACTGGTCTGAAAGTAATTTTATTCTGTCAGTATTGGTAATGGGAACATGGGGAAATGGGATGGAGGCACTAATATGCATCAATGCCTACTGTTCACTGATAAAACAGAAAATCTCACCTCTTTCTGGAATGAATTGGAAGAAACCATAAACCATTGCAAATTCCTGCTGGCGAGAGCAGCTATAGTTTTATGTGGCGACTTTAATGCCAGAGTTGGCTCTGGCGTAACTGAGACGGTAATTGATTCAGACCTAGAGTATAATGAACCCTTCCTATCTGACCATTTTTCTTTGGATAAAGTCTTCAATAAACAAGGTAGGAAGCTAGCCGAGATGAGCCACTCTGTGACCTGGGAGAGAGGGTCATCATCCCGCCTTCTGCCAGGACTGGCTAATCTATTATAAGCAACAGAGTGAAAGGAAGGCTCCGTAGAACTTGCAGCAGAATCATGAATGGCTGGTCTGGCCCCAGGGGACTGGACCCTCGTTATCTGCACCTCATCTCTAGTTGTTATTAATGTCCCAAGCAAGAGGCCATTTTAGCTTCTTAGCTGGAAATGGGTGCAGTCTGCAAAAGGCCCCTGGAGGGAAAAGGGGACAGTTTCCAGGCCCTCCTCAGCTAGTAGCTTGGAATTTATAACCCATTTTAAGGGACAGTCATGCCATCTGAGCCCCCCCATCAAATTCCTCCTTTCCACCTTTTTTAAATTCAGAGAATTTCTTTTTAGCTAGGGAAGGAAAGAATGGCTAGAAGCATGGTCTGTCTCTAACAGAGTTGGGATTAGGTATTTAGTTAAATCACCAGGAACAGTCAATTTAAGCCAAATTAAAGCTAAATAAATAGTTTTACCTGGTGGATGCTTTCTTTCATATCAGCCACATGGCTTTGGGACCTTAATAACAGCATATAACTTGGGAGCTACCCACAAGAACCTGATGCACAGCCTTGAGGAAGATGATTTATCATCAAAAGCTCGGTTTCTTTAAATATTGGATTCATGCTTTCACGGCCAGGATTAAATTAAATATTCTTAATGTTTGATTAAAGGTATTACTTCTTCCTGCATTTCTATTTACCGTATTTTTCGCTCTATAAGACGCACCTTTCCATAAGACGCACCAATTTTTTAGAAGAAGAAAACAGGAAAATATAATCTGTTTTCTTCGCTCCATAAGACGCACAGACTTTCCACCCCTCTGTTTTGTGGAAAAAAAGTGCGTCTTATGGTGCAAATTTCTATTTATTTTAAAAGTTATTCTCATCTATCAAGTGCTTGTAATTTCTAGTAATGAACACAAGATGGAACTCTGGTATCTTCATATTTTCAGACTACAGTTATTTCTAAATGATCAAAATGTTGAACACTGCTTTACACAGGAAGAAACAAGCAGCAGGATCCAAAGTAGGACAGAGAGGCATTCCAATTAAGATGGCAAAGCACTTCGCTTCCCTTTTTACCTGCTGGCTGCATGACATTGATCTAAATCAGATGAATGGTGTCCAATATTTCATAGGCAAATAAATCAGTTTTAATAAATCAGTTAAAAATAATACAGTTAATCAACAGAGTGTTCTTTAGCCAGCCAAAGCTCTAATGACCATAAATATTAAACAATTTCCCCTGCAATGGTAATTTTGTTAAAATAACTGGATTGTTTATATATTATAAATGTTTTTGGAACTTTGTTTCTCCAGAAAGATCTTTGAACTTGTAAGAATTTTGCACATATGCTACATTGTCAACTTAAACAATTTGCTTAGTCACACCTAGAAATAAATTTCCCTAGTTCATAGACATTTGCTAGACTGGTTTGTAAATATGTGTCACATAAATTGCAATTATGGGATCCTTTCCCTAAAGTTACTAACTAAAGTAGTTCATTTGTTGTCCACTAGACCTCGGACAAATCTCTTTTATTACACTTGTGTATTGCAATCAGTATGTTAAAAAGTTGGCTTGATGGAAAACAAATCCTCCAAATGATATAGGCCAAAAATACTATTTTAAAACTTTATCACTTTATTGTATATAATTATGAAATTGTTATTCCTAGAATTCTTAACATGAACCCAATTATTACATGAATAAAGCAAGTAAATAATTGGAAAATAAACAAAAGGAAAATAATTTCCTTTTGTTATATTTTTATTTGTTGTTTCATGTGTTTGTAAGCCACCTAGAGTGGTTGCAAGACCAGACAGGATATAAACAAACAAACAAACAAACAAACAAACAAACAAACAAATAAGTACTGTGGTGAGTACTGTTATGAAGGGAGAAAAAAGAAGACCAGCATGAGAAAAAAACATTCAGTCAGAGAAGGAAGTCTAGAGCAGTAGGGTAGAGAAGGAACTAGGGACAAGAATCTTATTGGCAATTTGCACATGTGTAAGTAGAATATAGAATATATAGTAGAAAATATAGGGACATGGTGGTGCTGTGGGTTAAATCTCAAAGCCTCTGGGCTATAAGATTGAAAGATCAGCAGTTCGAATCCACGCGATGGAGTGAGCTCCCATCATTTGTCCCAGGTCCTGCCAACTAGCAGTTCGAAAGCATGTAAAATGTGAGTAGACAAATAGATACCACCATAGTGGGAAGGTAACGGCGTTCTGTGTATAGGTACGCTGTCCACATAAATAGTGTTGGAGGAGTATCAAGTACTGTAGTTCTAGTACTGGCTTATGTTGGGCCTCTTGCCCTGTATATTGCTGAACTGACAATGAAGTAGACAAAAGAGGATGTTTTGGTCATACAGTCTATTGGCTTGTAAAAATCAAATGTCTTCTGAAACTAATTAAATTAACTTT